CCCCCCCTCATGCTGTATTGGGAAAAAAAAAACCACACACCCAGAGGCAGCAGCTTATAAAAACAGACATTCTTAGGCAACAGTGGACTTTAGGACCAGCAGTGAGTTGGAGATGACTGGTGGGAAGGAGGGACGCTCCAGACTCTGTGAGTTTTATTTATATAGGCAGACAATTATGAGCTCAAACAGTTATTATAGGGCAAGGAAAAGTGGATTTGTTTTTAAATTATGTCATAACAACTTAAAGCTGAGTCTTTAGGCTGATCAGAGCTTGAATTCTGACCATTTTTGTGGGGATTTTGCATGAAATTTGCTTCTTTGTGTTGAGGATCTTACTTTAAAGAAGTTACATTAATACAGTACTAAGGGTGTAAAAAGAACGACTTGAGAAAACACTGAAAGCGTCTATCTCAGGTTTGTATTTCTATTTCATCAGGATTCATGGGTAGGCTGTGGTGTACGATGTGTGGGAAAGAGGTCAGGTGCTTCTGACACTCTGAGGAGATGTTAGTGTAGCAGAAGAGCTGATATTTGAAACCCCCACAACATTTGATGGGGGCAATACATCTGCTTTTCTTAATTAATCCATTAGTTATTTCCCATCAGGTTCATAATAAGACAAAAACAACATAAATGACTTTCAAAAACAGCCTTTTTGGTTTTAGTCATCTCTTCTGGGACATAACCTTGAATTAAAGTGCAATAAAATCTAAACTAAATGTTAGTAGTTTTACCCGGAGAGCTGGTTAATCACTTATTTACTGTACATCTAGCAATACAAAGTAAGAAACTGAGGTCGCTTTTATATGCAGAAGACCAAGGAGTCCATTGGTGGGGGAAAAAACATGATTTTCCAAAAATAAATTCTTCATAAAAAGAAAATTGGCTTATTAATCTAATGAAATAATTATCTAGCGCCTAGTATGTATGACTTGGACTTTATATTTAGGCAACTTTTATTATCATTTTGTATACACAGAGTGTATATAAAAGAAATTTCATATGTTTCGTGTGGCTGTTGAGATTATTTATCTGATTATTCTTCACCAACACTGCATCATGACGAAAACAAAGTTTAGAGATCTACTAACAAATATATACCAGAAATACATGGGGAGCCATTTCCTTCAAATTGAATGAATTAATGAATACTGTTATTAAATATCAATAATTATACCATCAAATAGGTAAAATGAACCGATGAAATGCAGCAAAATAGATGATAAAAACTCTATCTTATTCTTTGCTTTTTGGATGATGTAACTCCAATTAAAGTATTCAAGTGTTTTCATGCCTCCACAAACATCGTGCTAACAGGTCTAAGACAGGGTTTCCGCAGGTTATTAACAATCATTAAAAGTAATTACCTTAATATTTTTTAAATTAAGGCCTTAATTTGCAATAAAGTTAATTAAGTGTGATTATTGTGGCCTTTAAGATGCTTCATTAAAAAAAAAAAACATTTCTGAAAACAATTTAGTCAGATATATTATTTGCGATATATTTGCGTGGAACAGCTTCCGGTTGATCGTAAAGCCGTATGTTCGGAAAAGAAGCTCGAGGCGGAGAAAAGGCTAGAGAGTAAGAAAATGCTAATTTCAACAAAAGTGGCTGAAAAAAGAGGAATTCAAGACATGGATGTAGCCTGTTGACAGTAAAGATGAAGGATTTTGCCATCCATCCATCCATCCATCCATCCATCCATCCATCCATCCATCCATCCATCCATCCATCCATCATCCATCCATCCACCCACCCACAGATACGGTAGATATAGATATATAGAGAGCATTAGAAAGCATTAGAGTTACTTATTCCTATCTAAACCCTTTAAGAGCAATTCAGAAAATGGGAAAAATTACAAGAATAAAAAGAGAAAAATCTAAATCCTAATAGCGTTTTCTGTAAAACTCTTCTGTTTCAGATGATTTCCGGCAGGAAAATGGAGTCCAGTCGAGCAATTACAGTTCCATCTCTCCTCCGGCCTCACCGGAGGTCCAGGAGGAACCCTTCTCCACCTACTTTGAGGATAAGGTCCCCATTCCAGAAAGTCGCAATCAGGTACAACCCAAAAATTAAATCTAATCCTTTGAGTAAATAAAATTTAGTAGTATATTCACTAATCTAACATTTTGTTCGTTTCTTTCTAATGTTGTCCTTCTCTAATGTATAAATATTAAAACAAAAACAGAGGTTGGCTGAAAGGTTAGAGGATTTGTTGCAATTAAAACAGGTCATCTTATTAGTAATAAAAATGCTTTGTCTCTTCCCTTTAGATCTTCAGTTTCCGTAAACTCTGGGCCTTCACCGGACCAGGGTTTCTGATGAGCATTGCTTATTTAGATCCTGGAAACATCGAGTCAGATCTGCAGTCTGGTGCCAAAGCTGGTTTTAAGGTAATGACTAAAGCATTTTTATGTACACATCATAAAATATATATAAACTATCAGAATGTTTTTACATATTTATCCTGACAAATGGGAAATATAATTATATCCTCTGATTTTTGGAGGCAGAAAAACCTCAGATCTGCAGAGCACCAACTAAAATCAGTTTTAGATAGAAGCTTGAATGAACCAGTCACTGCTTTGTTTTTATAATTTACAGCTTATTCAAAAGATCTATGAGAAAACAAGAAACATGAGTTATTACAATATATGTGGAAGAATATAACAGGGGAAACCCACAATTAAAAAAACATTCAGTCAGCTTACAAAAGTACTTCAAGCTTAGCAGAATAGCTATTTTGGACTTTGTATTTGACAACAAAAACAGGTATGGATTACCACTAAGTGAAGAATAATGTTTTCCCGCAATTTATGTGAGCGACACTTTTTACAAGAAAGTGTTTAAATTTAGTTTCAGATGCATTTTAGCCTTTTATCCCCTTTTGTTGGTGAACAGTATGTTTCCTTCTACTTAAATTTCCAGTAACATAATAGAATGGAGCCCTCTGTAACTCATCCGCTTCTAAAGGGATCAACTTTGGATGGCTGCATTCAAGCCTGTAACTCTCTGCTGGAAACTGTTCAGTTAAAGTTATTGTGGAGGATTTTCGCTAATTTTTTAAAAGATCCACCCTCTCCACTTTAAAAAAAAAGAAATGCGCGGACAAGAGCGTGCATGAGCCAATTTCTCCTCGTGCATGCTCTGTTTAAAAGTTGCTGTTCTCTTAGCTCATACAAGCTTACTGTCTCTGAACATCTGCCCTAACCCCTAAATCTCTCAATCACTATATAGAGCGAGGACTATATAGTGGACTTTATAAGGAACTCAGTTAACTTACCATTATTTACAGACCATCACTGCTTTTTGCTCACAAAACTCTCCCTCCACTGCGCAGTGCCTGCGCCATCTTTGTTATCAGGCTCCGCTGTCGGGTAGCAACTGCTTATCGCAACAGCGGTACACTGTGAAAGCAAATCCCATAATGCTTTGCGAGGAGAGCTCTTCACGCAAAAGCATTCAGGAATATATCTGCCTCCTCTGAGGCCTTTGTTTTCTTCTCATTCACTTCGTAGACACTTATGACCCTCGGCCATTTTCAAAGAACCGCGGTGTGAAAGGTGAGCTTCAATGACTGTCTGAAACAGTATCTCGCCACAGATATATACGCCTAAAAGGGCGCAGGTGCAGAAAAGGATAGCTAACGTGACGAGCACGTAGGACGGCCTTATGTAAACATATCGCCAGAATCATTCACAATTAGGAGGACCTTCCAAAAAAGGTTAAAAAAAAATAATTTCCAAGTTTGAAGGCGTTTCGCTTCCCATCCAGGAAACTTTTTCAATTCAAAATGTCAGGAATAGCGTTGAGTTCGAGGTTTTATACAGTAGCCCATTAAAACCTTGTTTTTGTTTAGAAAACATGCAAATTGAAACGGATGAATGGGTCCAACCCTTTGGAATGGGGGTTGTCTTTGTTTGCCTGCAATGCCCCATACCTGTCTAAGTGTCTGAAAGGGGGGGGTCGTTAAATGGAATTGTTTTGCTGGTTAATAGGCGAGGTCTTGTGCTCCCCAGTAAAGGGGTTTGGGTTGTGATGCATTGAGTCCCCCCTCTTCACCAGCAATTAGGAGGACCTCTTACTTAGACGATCCACCCGGAAACAAAGTTTGTCCTCCATACGTTTAAAGTTTGTTGGATTAATTATTTAATAAATAAAATTATTCAATATTACTTTTATTTAATTTGGTAGGTCTAGGAACTGAGTGAAATTTTCCATTACATATTATGTTGCCTCTCATTGTATTGGTTATATTGCCCGGAAATGACAGGACATCCATCTCTAAGGTGATGTAGTGACTTATGTTGATTTGATCTCTCAGCTCCTATGGGTCCTGCTTTTTGCAACCATCATTGGGTTGCTGCTGCAGAGGTTGGCTGCACGCCTCGGAGTCGTCACCGGGATGCACCTGGCTGAAATCTGCAACCGCCAGTATCCCACTGTAAGTCCCTGGCTAATCCTCTCAACTCCTTCTGGTTGTTTTTAATCACGTTCTTTGAATAAGTGGTTGTTTCCTTCAGGTTCCACGGATAATCCTTTGGTTAATGATCGAACTGGCAATTATTGGTTCAGACATGCAGGAGGTCATCGGCTGTGCCATCGCCTTTAACCTTCTCTCAGTGGGCAGGTGAGGCACTTTATATTAAATCCACAACAGATAATAGATTGGAAGATATGTGTTTGTTCATGGTTTTCCTTCTTTGTGTAACTACCAGGATCCCACTGTGGGCAGGGGTCCTCATCACCATCGCAGACACGTTTGTGTTCCTCTTTTTAGACAAATATGGTATGTAGTCAACTTAATCCAGATCTTTAACTTCACTGATCTGGTTTGTGCTTCCAGATGTTTTCACATGTTTTCATTTCTTAAGGTTTGAGGAAACTTGAAGCTTTCTTTGGATTTCTGATCACTGTAATGGCTATAAGCTTTGGTTATGAGGTAAGCTTCCTACACTCTTCCTGACCAGTTTATATGCAGCCATCATGGGCCAGAGCTCTATAATAAACCTCTTCCTTTTAAAGATGGAACTAAATCTTTCTTTTTCAGGATAACATATGATATACAACTCTGAAGGCTCTTTATTAGAATTAGTGATGTGCCGATGCCATTTTTGGCCTCGATACATGATACCTGGCTGTGCAGTATTGGTTGATACCGATACAATCTGTTTGAAATTGATGTGTGTGTATATACGAAGAACTGCAGACTACTTCGATGTAAAATAATAGCCATCATGGCTTTCTCAAGCTGCTGCCTACCTTAGTGAAGCAGGGAAAAGACTAATTCAAAGTGAATCCAGTAGAAATTTTCTTGCCTACCTGGAATGGGTGAAAATAATTGAATAAACTTTTGGCTCTCAAAATGGTATCAGTGACCTATTTGTTGGTACTCGCCGATACAGATACCACCATTTTCAGCACTGGACAGGGCCTGTGGTGACTGCACAGCAGGGGCAGACAAGGCGCCAGCCATTTCAGCACTGGACAGTACCAACCTAGGTTAACAACAACAATAAAAAAGATGTAGAAGCAACTAGTGTTGCTCTGATGCCCTTTTTTTGGCCCAGATACCTGGCTGTGCAGTATCGACCGATACCATCTGTTTAAAATTGATGTGTGTGTATATATGAAGAACTGCATACTACTTGGATGTAAAATAATAGCCATCATGGCTTGGTCAAGCTGCTGCCTACCTTTGTGAAGCAGGAAAAAGACTAATACAAAGCACCAAGTAGTATGCCACGCTAACGCTAGTTTCATCGGCTGAAACCGCCATGTTCTTTAGACTGAACTGTCGCGCTTCACGTTGCGTCACACCTCAAAACCAACGCTGATTGGACGTTCGTTTGGTGAACGGCTCCAAATTTTCTTTAACGGAGAGTAGCCAGACTAATCTGCGAGTGAAACCTTGAAAGCTCGCGGGATCAGGATGGTCTCATGAGGCTACTGTTTTGTGGTCTTAAGGCTGATTTATACTCAGACACCAGGGCGTCTGCGTGTGTGTCGCTGTGACTGCAAATGTACTTCTGCCCCCTCCGCAGACACTTTGCTGCACCTCTCCAAAATTGTAGGTGACTGCAGACAGGAGGCCTCTGATTGGTCAAATCTACTTCTCCAAAAAAGTAATTGAGTTACTGAGTTACTCCACAATAAAAGTAACTAGTTACTGGTAAAAGTAACTATTGTTACTTCTGCGTGTCTTGCCCCCAATACCCTCACCACCTGGCCCCCACCTTCTTGCCATGTGCTTCAAAAGCCAGCTGAATAGAGTGGACGGCAAAGACAAGTACCTGCAGAGAGTTTCGCATTTATTGCAACTCAACGTAAATTAAATCAGGGGGGAACGCTATCTGACGGAGTTTATAGGCCCGTCATATACCGTTCCCCCCATGTTAAGCAGGGAGAACGGTATCTGACGGGCCTATAAACACTGGATAAACTCTTTAAACTATCACCTAATTAGCGCTATTTAGTATATTGTGCCTGTGCTGCTTATATCTTGTGTTTTATGGTGGTGTAACATTTATTTCGCTCTCTTTTATTCCCACAGTACGTGCTGGTGAAACCGGACCAAGGAGAGGTTCTTAAAGGGATGTTTTTACCGTACTGTGCTAACTGTGGGCCTGTGCAACTGGAGCAGGCCGTAGGAATCGTTGGTGCAGTCATTATGCCCCACAACATCTACCTTCATTCAGCTCTGGTCAAAGTGAGCAAAACGCCATAGAACTATACGTACAAAACAAGAACTCTGAGGGAAAGTCGATTCTGCATGTCCTGAGAGCATCTATCAGTTTATTTTTATAATTGCAAATAAAACACAGTGATAGTTTTGTTTTAATTTCTTTTGTTTTCTTCAGTCCAGAGAAGTGGATCGGAAAAACAAGAAGGACGTAAAAGAAGCCAACAAGTACTTCTTCATCGAATCATCTATCGCCCTCTTCGTGTCCTTCCTCATCAACGTCTTTGTCGTCGCAGTCTTTGCTCAGGCTTTTTACAATAAAAACAACATGGAGGTGGTGAGTACCATGTTAGGACGTGATCGTCTTTTTGCTGCAGAGTTAAATAGCTTCTTTCTTTTTAGGGTTAATTGAACACATATTGATGATTTAGTTGTTGCTGATTGTGTTTTAGAACGCTGTGTGCAATGCTACAGGCAGCCCCCACACCGATCTCTTCCCTCTCAACAATGGCACTCTGGAGGTGGACATCTACAAAGGGGTATGTCTGCTCTGCTTTACTCCAGCAATAAACTCTGATACAGTTTATGCTTTGGGAATAGAAATGTTTTAAACAATCAGATCAACTAATGCTTTATTTTTTTCATAGTCATTTAATAACTTTCATAAGCATTCCCAATTTATAAGAGGTGTTATTCCTGGTGCAGTTGACATCCTGATTTTGTATCAGCCCCTTCTGGTAGCAGCTTTTCAATTATCGTAGATTCATTATAGTTTTTAAAATAATCCATACCTATTTAAAATGCATTGAAACTATTAAAAAATTTTTGGTCAAATGATTGCTGAACCTAATTGTAAAGAAATATATTTTCTTAAAATCTTTAGATGCATCTTCATAAAGAAGAACATAATGAAAAAGTACATCTGTTTTAGTTATTCAACACAACATTGCCTCATTTGAGAGTTTCTTTTCATTTTTGATGATTATGATCCAAAATCAGTTGGTCAAAAATTTGGGATGTTTTATGAAACCAATAAAAACATAATGATAATTGTGGAGTTAGGAAGCTGAGGCAGAGGCAAATTTAGCAAGAACACAGATTTATTTTACGTCCGTAGACGGACAGAAAAGCTCCTACTTGGGCAAACCCAGTACACACATTTATACCTCACAAAATCCCAACACACTCTCTCTCCCATGGAACCACCCCACCCCCTGCATAAAGAACTTTATCATACTCAAACATTTGGAAGAAAAACAACTTCAGTTCATCTAGGACATTCCCTGTTAGATTAATATTTCTTTCACTGGCCAGATAAACATTTCACAAAAGCTGCCTCCCGTTCACGGCATGGAGGAGGATGAGGAAACTTTAAACACTGATCTTTTATCACTCCCAGCTTTCCTTTCACCCCAATTATTCGGAGGAAAAAACATGCTTTCATACTAATAAAATAAAAAGTTATTTACTACAAAATCATAGTGATGGTTACCAACCTCACTAAAGGCCATAATTAAGGAAGCTGGTTTTGATTTCAGTCATATTAGTGGAAAATTCAGTGGAAGTAAAAAAAATCTGGTAGACAATTGTGCACAAGTAACAAGTGTCATTGAGACCAGTATGAATCAAAACTCATGTAAATAATTAGGGGGGTGTCACAAGGTATAGACTGTAACAGTAGTCTGTGATTTAAACTTAAAGGAATAGTACACCTAAAACATGATTAGCCTTCATTTTCTACTCACCCCCATGCTGAACAACACTCTGGAGTACTTTTTTGATATCTCAAATGCATCTGGAGATCTGGGAGGCTTCTTGCTGTCTGCTGACATTCAAATAATGGAGGTCTATGGCGCCAGAGGCAGAAAGGTCCATAAAAGTCCACAAAAAACGTGTCAATATTCCTCCATACTGCTCGTCCAATGTATTCCAAGTGTCCTGAGTGGGTAGCGTCCATAATTTACTCGAAACGAAGTCATTTAGAATGTTTTTAGAGCATAAACAGTAGTGTATAGGATTTCCTAAAAGCGCGTTCACGAGTCTACGGAAACCGCGGCAGACCAAACCAGATGAAAGTGCGCATTCAGCTCGGCAAAGAACTCATGCTCTTCCTCAACACTGAAGTCGTCAGACATTTTTCTTTCGTAGTTTCTTTCTTTGCACAGGTAAACAGCACATCTCTTCTTCTGCGCTTGCATTATCGGCAGAGCAGACACTGAATGCGAACTTTCATCTGGTTTGGTCTGCCGGCTTCTGTAGCGTCGTGAACGCGCAGGCGTGCGCTTTCAGGAAATCCTATACACTACTGTTTATGCTCTAAAAACATTCTAAATGACTTCGTTTCGAGTAAATTCTGGATGCTACCCACTCAGGACACTTGGAATACATTGGACGAGCAGTATGGAGGAATATTGACACGTTTTTTGTGGACTTTTATGGACCTTTCTGTCTCGGACACCATAGACCTCCATTATTTGAATGTCAGCAGACAGCAAGAAGCCTCCCAGATCTCCAGATGCATTTGAGATATCAAAAAAGTACTCCAGAGTGTTGTTCAGCATGGGGGTGAGTAGAAAATGAAGGCTAATCATGTTTTGGGTGTACTATTCCTTTAATAATTGGGCTAAGGCTACTCCTTAGCCATTCTGCTTCACAAATTGTATCATAATATAATTCTAGTTTTCTGAGAAACTGAATTATGTTTTCTTTGGCTAAGCGAGCTTTGGTTAGCTGAATTCATTCCTTTGAGATTTTTCACTGCTAGTAATTAAGCTATTCATCCAAGGTTTGCTTTTTAAATTTTAAAATAAAAGCAATTTTCAATTATATCCCGACTTTTTTAGAGGCACCTGGATTCAGTAATAAACATTATGTATTTTGCAATAAAAACACTAATAACCAGATGAATAAAAAGCTAGTCACTGTCTTTATTTTCTCATCTCCACAGGGGGTGGTGTTGGGGTGTTTCTTTGGTCCTGCTGCTCTCTACATCTGGGCCATAGGGATCCTGGCAGCGGGACAGAGCTCCACCATGACAGGCACTTACTCTGGACAGTTTGTGATGGAGGTAAAGAAAAACCCTCTGCTCCGCATGTTGCATGTAGTATCTGCTGCTTTACAGTGTTCTCAAACCCCAAATGCTGTCTAAAGCTGCAAGTTTGTGTTATTTCCTCTTTTCTCAGGGTTTTCTGAACCTGAAGTGGTCTCGTTTTGCTCGGGTTTTGCTGACCCGCTCCATTGCTATCACGCCAACCCTCCTGGTCGCCATTTTCCAAGACGTTGAGCATCTGACAGGGATGAATGACTTCCTCAATGTGCTTCAGAGTATGCAGGTCAGGGGAAGCAGTCTGATTGTTGATTTTTAAAGTTTTTCTTTTGGTGTCCCAAGCTTTTCCATGCTGCGGCTCCCAAACATCATTACTTTTCCCTTTGCAAACTAACAGACAATAATGCTAAACATGCAAGGAAAATATAACTTTTCAAATTATTTTCTCACTTTTATTCCCATTCAGTTGTATATAAATATACTGACGCTGCGGCACTATTATACTCACTACTATATTCACAATAAATAAAAAAAACTTTCTGCAAAGTGTTCACAATATGAACAGAACAAAACCTTCATTCAGGTATGTGAGCAGCTGTAGGGAAGCACCCTATGAATGGCATTACCCCCAGATTCCACATCTTCCATCAGCACCCCGCTCACGTACGTCGTGCATAGTAATGACAGATTAGATAAATAATTCTTATATTTCCCAAAAATTAAGACTGTTTAATTGAATGATCAGAGGCAAACTATTGGTTCTTCAACATACCAGGAAGAACATTTCTCATCTCCATCAAAATATTCATTTTATACAGAGAGGCTTAAAAGTTTAATCAAATACAGTCAAAACTTTCATCTGACAATTTAAATAAAAACTTCTCATCTCAGGCCTGGATGAAGAGATGCTGAGTTTGGAAGCAGAGAACAAACATAAAGTTATACAAACCATGGATGGTCCTAGTTATCCCTGTTCCAAAAATCCACAACAAAAAGAAAATATTTGGGTAGAAACTGAACATATGCTTGATTCTGATGGGGATTATTTTATTATGTCATATTAAATTAAGCGTTCATTTTCGCATGTTTTGCTCCCATAAATTTAATAATATTGTGCATGCTCTCCTCGAGCTCCGAGGAAGTCAGAGCAGAGCAAGATGGAGAAACAGCGGAGGCTGTAGGCTTTGCTTTGCGTAGGCGGTCTGGAACGGAGCGGGCGGAGCGGAATGGGGCGGTTACGGAGGATGTGGGATATTTTGGTTTTAGCCACTTTTACACTATGGAGAAATAAATTGGTACAGAGAGTTAGAGTTGGCCAGCACTTTGAACAGGATTGACATAACCACCCCCACTAACTAACACTTCTCAATAATTCATCAGAGACATTTCAGACCAAACTAGGGATACAGAGGCAAGAAGAAATAACACTTTATTGAAGGTTTTTCTTCCATTTTCTCAGTAAATACATATGCCTCAGAGTCAAACCATAAGAGAAAGCTTTATCTTGTCTTAATCAACCTGAAGCAGCCAATCAGGGGAAAGGGTTTCTATAGAAGCCACCCTAATCCCGCCCCCTGATTCATCGATAAGGCTGATAGTTTTAATTATTTGTTGATGAGTGCTCTGCCTGGTCACCACTTATGTGAAGCAATTAATTGTATATTTCAATGAAGACATTTTAAAAATGTTGTTTAATGTCCAAATTTTAAAGGCATATTTCATTATTTGATTGTAAATTCTATAAATTGTTTCTAAATGGATTCTTACATCATTTATTAAAGATCGATTCATATGACCAAAGATCAGTTTAAAATAATAATTTTTCATTGTTCCGGCTTTAACTAACATTATTGAATTCATGTTTAAAGTCGTAGGGAAATCATATTAAGATGATATATAAATATCAGACGATATCGTCACAAAATTTTGAAAATGTATATTTTAGAAAGAAATCCTGTTTTAAAATCTGTATATTTCTTTGTCGTTATCCCTAGCAGGCCATTTAGTTATACGTCAGCCTGAACACCTACATTCGGCCAATCATATATCAACGGTCATCTGTCAATCAATTTTTTTCAGTCATAGCATCTTGATTCATATGTCGCAGCTAATTTACGCAATGGTTCAAATCTTGCTAATTGGTTAGCAAGATGCTTCTGAGAAACCGGCCAAAACCAAACTTGTTTGCGAACCTTCCGCCATAACAATCCTGCCCCCTTGATGAACAACCAATCACATTCATTTTATTCACTTGTGTAAATTCGTGCACCACTCGGGAGAATTCGGAAATGCAGCGGTTGGAACGGCCGCTTCCCTACGACTTTAACACCAGGAATCCAGTTTTAGATCAGAACTGATTCTTCAATCTTTTAATTCTTATATCTTGAGAATTGGATTTGCCCCTTACAATTTGAATAGATAACCAGCCCTATTCATTGGTACATTTCATTATTTGTTGTAATGTTTGTTATATTTAAGTATTTAATGGTACATTTATTTATTTTTAATGTTGAATTTCTTTATTTTAATGGTGCATTCACATTTATTTGTTTATTTTAGTAGGTTTAAGGTTGAAAAGCCAGACTTTCACAAGTAGGTTGTTGCACAATTGTGGTGAGAGGGGGTTTCTCTGTCCAGCTGTCTTACTGTCTTGTTTTATAAGATTGGTTAAATAATAATCAGATCATGTTTTATGATACTGAAACAAAGAATCAAGATATATTTTTAGTAATATTTTCCTTCAACTGAGCATCCATTAACTCTGCCTAATGGCCACTTTAAAAAATACGGTTTTATTTGACTTTCTGATGCCTTTATAGTTCTTTATCTCCTCCAACAGCTTCCATTTGCCTTGATCCCAATCCTGACCTTCACCAGTCTGACCTCCATCATGAACGACTTTGCTAATGGGCTGTAAGTAAAGCATGTCACCCTGATTCATTTAATGTTCCCACGGTAACTATTGGCTCGGTTCAGCATTACGGGAAGGGAACTGAAAGATGAAAGGCTAATTATAGTGTTTGGGTTACAGAAGTGAGATATTTGTGTTTTTCATAGAAGGTATAAAGGTTATATGCTCTATATTCCCTCTTTATGCCAAACCAAAACATTGCTTTATAAATACTGTAAGTTTTTTTTATGACTGTATTTTTCTGTTTTTATTGAAGGGCTTGGAAGATTTCAGGAGGCGTCCTCATTCTTCTGGTTTGCGCCATCAACCTATACTTTGTGGTGGTTTATGTGACTGCGTTGAACAGTGTCCTGCTCTACGTAATCGCTGCCCTGCTCTCTGTGGCGTATCTGTGCTTCGTGATCTACCTGGTGAGTTGTTATAAATAATGTGAAAAGAACCACTGGTGGCAAAATTATTAGTTCTTCAACTACCATACTTTGTAGCATTGGCGGCTGGCCAATAGAGGGCGCTAAGGCACCACCCCACACCCAATGACCCTGATTAAGACATGAAAAAAAAAAAAATATATATATATATATATATATATATATATATATATATATATATATATATGTGTATATGTTTTTTTTATACTTTAATTTTGAATTAAAATGTAAAATATTTCGAAATATATCTATATATATTTTTTTGATGTGTAATGACTTGTAAAGCGTCATTCCATTTTTTGGTGGATTGGGGATGTATTTCCGCCCAGGGGCGCAAAAATCTTTGCCCATTGACTCTAGTTAAAGGTTGTACTTTGGGCAATAGCTCCTCTGCAATACAAACGTATAGGATAGCGCACCAGAGCTGCGCCCCGAGCTGACAGGAAGTGTATTTGCTCACCACCTCTTGCCACAGCGCAGACGTTTTGCGGGTGATTGACAGGTCGAGACGCGGGAGCTGGAGACGCATTGGAGAGAGAGAGAAATGGTGCAAGAAACGTCCTTTTTCAGGAGCTGCTTTAGCAAGAAGGCATGGCTAGCAGCATGTAGCTTTATTCTGCTTTCCTGCCTCCTTTTTCAAACGTTAGGTTCTGACCCAGAATGGATAAAGACAGGTAGAACTGATTTAAAGCACTTTTTAGTAAAGGCAAAGAAGAAAGAACAATCTCGGATTCACATGGAGAATAATATAACATAGTTTACTTTTTCTAGATGTTTGTTAATTTGCATAGTTGCTCATAAATAAGCACAGAACCAGGGTTTAGAAAATAGTTTTTATATATTAAAAAGTATAAAGGTGACGAATAGTTTCTCCAATATTAAACTGGTACTGGGCTAGATTTATGTAGCCTGGGTGCCATTCCGAACTTAGTCCCGCCCACAAAGTTTGAGGTCGGGAAGTTCGGTCTGGCTCTGCTCCATAGTAGCGCGAGTATTATCGCCCACT